TCTTAGAGAGTATATGATATATAGTTTTGGACAAACTTGGATAATTTCAAAAAGCAAAAAATATTAAAATTATATTTAGGATATTTGACGCAGAACGTATCTATCATTTGTCTTTATTTCACTAATTATCTATAGGAAAAATTACAGTCAGGTACCAAACCTTTCAACTTTTTGCACACTTTGCCCAAACCTTTATTTTGTGACATCCACGGTATCAAACCTTTAAACAATTTACACCCAGAGTCCAAATGGACGGTTTCCGTCCAGTTGATCACGAAAATCGTTAGTTGACCTCAGAAATTAAAAAAAATTATAATTTCCACCAATTAGGTAAGGGCAATTTCGAAATTACACACTTAAAGGTGGTTTATTCAATTTTTTACTTAATTTTTAGAGTTTTTATTAAAATTTTTTTTTCAATTGTTCATCATTCCTTTAAAAAAAACAATTGTCCTTGCCTATTTGGTAGAAATTATAATTTTTTTTATTTGTGAGGTCAACTAACGGTTTTCGTGGTCAACTGGACGAAAACAATCCATTTGGACTGCGAGTGCAAATTGTTTAAAGATTTGGTACCGTGGGTGGCACAAATCAAACATCTGGGCAAAGTCTGTAAAAATTTGAAAGGTTTGGTACCGTGGCTACAATTTTCCCTTATCTATATTACTTCAATTTTGATATTTGGAAACTTAAATCAATTTTTCTTTATGCAAAACATTCTTACTGTCCATTTCTTCCGTTAAAACCTTGTAAAATTATGAATTTATCTTCCCCTTTTAAATAAACAAAAAGAAAAGAAAGAACAAAGAAAATAAAATAAATAATTGCAGTCAGAATTTCAAATTTTTCAAAAAAGTGCAAAAGGGCCCTATAAAACAATTCAGCCCTATATATATGGCCTTTCAATAAAAAAAAATTTAAACAGAAAATCCCATTTTCCTCATTAAGTGTAATAGGTTGGTTCATTGAGGGTTTTAACTTTTTTGCTGAACCACATTTTGAATGATAGGTTTTGCATTCTTGTGGTCATTTTCTTTGTTGTGAATAGTCAAAATTGGTTGGAAAAAAGAACTATCAATATGTTGTTGTCGGATGTCGAAATTATATATATGAGAGTGTGTTTGATTGATATGGAAAATACTTTCGAAAAAAATCAAATTTCCTTATTTTGAGGAAAACAGAAAAATACTCTCCAAAGAAAACGTTTTCCTTAAAAACAAGGAATATAAGACAATTTCAGAAGCTGAAAAATATTTTTAATGAAAAAAAATAATAATAATCAAATACTCTAAAGTAGAAATTTGGTGAAAAATTGACATTTTTCATGAAAAATAAATGTAATCAAACATACCCTGTAAAGTCAAACATTTGTTAGTTGTCGAGTTTGGGGCATATGGAGCGCCATTACTTGTTGAAAAAGAGAGAAAATTTTGTGTAAAGTCAATTTTGGGTTAGAATTCTCAAAGGCGGGAAAAGTTCTTGATATCATTTTGAAGTGCTCTCGACATACTTGGTTACGCACCTTTTAATTTGAAAAATAGAGAGAAGTCAATAAAATTGCTTGTTTTATTAAAAACCAAAATCCCACATTTATAGGGAAAAATTAGGGTTACAAATAATACAACAATCATAATAACGGTGGGTGTATGAGTATAAAAGTCATTCATAAATATTACTTTATTTTTAACAGGAATGATAGTTTTTAAGTATTGTAATTGTGTATTTTTCCCTTAATAATATGAGCTAAGATTGGGCTTAGTGTCTCATCTAAACCAGATTAGTCTTTACTAAACATTTAAATCTTCAATTTTCATCTTTTGTGCACATAAGACTACTAAATTAAAGCAGCCTATCAAAGTGTAACATGTCTTGTACGTAACCTATTTTTTATTAGAATAAATTTCACCAACTACCTCTATTTTTCTTTGAAGTGTGAATTCTATCCTCCCTCACTTACCACCGTCATGTCAATGTGTTCTATACGAAAGAACGTTGAATCATTGTGGCGTGGTGGGGCGGAGCAGCCTCCATCCATCCTCGCCCAGAACCTGTCCTGCCAACTCAATGTGATAAGGAATTTTCACCGTATTTGAACGGGGCGCGGGATTTAGGTTTACAACATATTTTCCACCCCGAAATAGATTTTGCAGAAAACCATCTGTATGTGATCTTGGTTAATCACCCCAATTCCCATATTTTGCAAAATACGAATTTGGTCCTCCAAGACCTATTATTTAAAAAGGTACTATTTCTAAAAATTGCGTCAAATTAATTTTTCCCTCCAACATTTAATTAAGACATTTATTACTCAATTCACCATTATAAAGAAATTTATTATCACGCAAAAATATAAAGTACAAATTCTAGATTTAAAGGATTTGAGCTAGATTTGAAGAAGATTTTGGAATAAAGAAATTTACTATCACACAAAAATATAAAATAAATAATTCGAGCTAGATTTGAAGAGGGTTTCCGAAAAGAAGCAAGACGAAGAAGAAGACAATATGAAAACTTGGGGTTTTAGTTTTGGGATACAAGAAGTCATCTTCTTATATCTTCTCTCTTTCTTCTTAATCATATGGATGTCTTAATCAATTATGTCTTCTTGTAAATGGATTATGGACTTTAGTTAGGGCAACGATGTACCGTCGGTTTGGTAATTTAATTTCAATTATTATGTTTTGACTTTTATTTTATCGATATAGAACACTCGTATCGATAAAATGATTTGAACAAAGCTAAGACAAAAAACTTGAATCAGGACATCAAGATTAAGTGCAATGCAATGATCAAGATTAAGTACAATGCAATGTTGAGTTTATGTTATTACTTTTAATGCCTTCATATATATATGATCAATAATTGAATGATTTGAGAATCTTATTAAGACCTAAAGATGATACACTTCCTCTTAATAATGACAATTATAAATTTGGGGTAATTTGTTATCACTATCCTCAAGCTTTATCATCTTTTGCGCTTGTGTCCCCGACCTTTATTTTATTTGGTAGTGTTGTCCTTAACCTCTCATCAATTTAAAGGAATAATTATTTAAGTTTGAGGGCATTTTTCATCAATTTAGAGGAATTTAAGACCACTCATTAGTGGGACCACGTTCGCAAATAAATGAAAGGTTGAGGGCAACACTGTCAAGAAATGAAGGTCCGGGACACAAGTGTAAAAGATAGTAAAGGTTGGAGACAAAGGCGCAACGCATTTTGATTCCCGTTTGTTTCGGATTAAAATCAGATTTTAATCTAAATTAAAATTAAACAATCAATATTAACTATATCTTTCATGGATCTCACAGCTTTTCAACCACATATTTCAAAAACTTTTATCATAATCTACTAAAAATTTAATTTTAATTCCCATCAAACACCCACTTAATGAAACATACATAATATTTACTCATTGTCACGCTTATGTTCCCAATTTTTTTCATTAAATTCTTATTTATGATTTTTGTCCAAATATCCCGCTAAGATGAAGATGAAAGATGACCCATTGACCATTCTGAAATTATTAACAAACTTCACTGAAATTACTGCAAAAAATTGCGGCAATTCAATTGATAATGTACATTCGATTTGAATGAACTGCGAATTTGCAGAAATCACAGATGCCTACAATCCCCTTAAAATGAAAGAATCAACAGATAATCTACACCTCAACAGTTGTTTGATTTAAAGCAGTGTATCTCCATCGTTCTTTCTCCACAAAATCTGCATCAAGAAACCTCGAAACAAATGTCCAGATTCTATACATATCATCAAAATTCGTTAACATCCCAATTGAAATAGTTACCACAGAAATCCCGTACGATTTCTTGTCTTTCTTCTTAGATTCTTCATTTGTACTGCTTGTTTCCAACATTTTATGCTTCTCTTCTTCGTAAATTTCTGAGAACCAGATGTTTGTTAAAATGCCGCAACCAACAGAAATGTTGTTTCGATCAGCTAGCTTCTGTACAAGAGTGGGATCAACTTTTTCTCCTTTCCAGTCATATACATTGAATGCAACTGCTGGCCCTCTTTCTAACATTATTTTTGGCCCGTAGATTCTGATCAAGGGGAGCCCATTTTCTGAATGTGGGTGCTGAAGAGACATTAACGCGTTCACCATCCAGTTTACAAGGCATCTTGTTCTATTACTGATCAGTATTAGGCCTAGTGAATCTGCATGATCCAAACCCCGGCATTCGATTCTTTCTGAGGTTCTACCGGCATTGGATTCTTGGTTTCTTGATTGTGCTGTTTGAGGGGTTTCATCTACCTCTATAATTTCAGAAACTGATGATTCTTTCAGCTTCATGTGAACTTGTTCAGGAGTTTCTTCGGTTTCTAGCTGTGACATTGATGTTTCTTGTTCGGTTTCTGCCTTGGCAAAGGCTAATTGTTCAAACGATTCATTTGCTGGCAGTAGGCTGACAATTCCCATGCTTGTGGAGGATTTGCATAAGTCCGAGACACTGGATTTCTTAACAAAAAGGCAGCAAAACCCCGATGGATTTTCACCAAAAACCTTGTAAAATGAGCAAATGAGAAAGTCAGGTTGAAACAGAGAGAGGCCTAATGTTTCCATTTCCTTCGCTCCTAATGCACAGGCATCCAGCAAAATATGCCATCCATTTTCCCTTGCCAGGCTCATCCATTGATAAGAATATCGCGCTCCAGTCATCCTCGACTGAAGAGGAAAAGCAAATAAACCCCGATTACTTGGCTTCCTCTTATTCACAATGAGTTTTCTGAGCTTTCTGGAATTGACCCTCAAATTAGGCCATGAGAACACTGCTGATATTGGTCTTGCGCCTTTTTTCTTAGAGCTCTCGATCATCACTTGCACTGCCTCATTCTCATAATCATATACTGTAAGAAGGTTCTGATTAGACTGAAAAGGATAAGAGTCTGCTAGAAGCTTAAATGCTGATGACTGGTTGGCTGTGAAAACAATGTAATAATCCTCTTCCGAGACATTCATGAATTTCATGATTCTTTTTTGCACCGAGGATTCGAATTCTGATTCTTGACCACCATATAACAAGAAAGAGTTCAAATTCACCGACTTGTATGAAATGTCAAAGAACGGTGAATCAGAAGGTCTTAGAGGGGTAGGTGTAGAAGAAGAAGAAGCAATTTCAGTCGTGAGATTATGTCCCTGCTGCTGGGAATAGGAGAAAAGACCATGGCCTATATAATCAAGACACACATGATTCGAGACCACGAGATGATTGTATTCTTGAGCTCGAATATTATCAGCAAGAACGGTATTCGAGTAGTATGGATATGCATTTTCGAGGCAAGAAAACAATTCTATCGACGAAGGAAGGGACTCGTGATTAGTAAAATTGCCATTTGGTTGAATAGAGGCAAGTATGGCAGTTGTAAATTCGTGTTGAGGATCGATACCACTGCTTGTTACCTTACTGGGCGAATTTCGAGTCTCTGGCAAGCCAAGCAAAGGATTTGAGCAACAATTATTGAAACAGGCTCTTGATGCTTCTCTGATACAATTTGATTGCATTTTCCTCTCTAATTTTAGACTAACTCATAATCCTTCGTTGGTTTCAACTTCAATGTCCCTTGTTTTAATCCATTTTGCAGCTTGAAGGCTCATATTCTGAGCTTCTGACAGGTTGTTTGATGGAGAACTCAGCTTGACCAAGTCATTCATAGATAATAACGTGTTCTCTGTTTCTTTTACTTTAATTTTTTTATGTAGATTCTTGTGATTTGAGGTGGCCCATCAATATACCTTTAAACACGTATTGGCTCAATCTACTCATCTTATCAATATGAAAGATTTTCTTTCCCAATTTTTTTTTCTCCTTTTGGGGGAGGGGCGGTGGGGTTGATGGCCTTTTTGTGTAGACCATAGAACGTGAAAAAAATTTGTAAGTTTCTTCTAGTGAGAAATCTACGGCAAAGAGTAAAGGTAGCCCTCTCATTGGAGAATATTTCAGTCGGGCAGTATTATGTACACAAGCTGAAGGATTGTTCATTCAAATCACAATACGTCGGACCTTGAATCTCTCAATTTATGATTTCAGTAGATGATCCTAGTACGAGTGTATATAGAACTGTCTATTTCTAATATATGTTTTCTTTCATGTGTTTTTTATTTCGTTTTGTGAGTACTATTTGATGAGTGTAACCAAGCAATACAACAATTGAGAACACATTTAGTGCCCAGTCTTGGAGAAGACTAAAAAAAATTAAATTAAAATTTTATGGATTATACTGTTCAATCTTATCGAATATCACATATCAAACATGTCACGATCCATTTCTTAGGGAAGACCAAAGACCATTTGCCAAAATCAAATGCTAGACTAGGACCCCTACCCTTGACAACAGCTTTATGTTATGCATTCCTTTTTTCTTGCATCAAATTGAGATTGAGTCCATCTAGTCCACTAATATTTGTACTGAATTCAAGATAAAAAGGCACATTTTTGTGTACAATATGGTTGGATTGATTCCAAAAGGTCAAATATAAAAATAGAAAAGGGCAAATTGAGCTCCCTATGTGGCCGGCATCATCGATGCTGGCCAGAACCTTCTTTGGAATGACTTCAGAGCACGTTAGGCAACTTTTCTTTTTCTTTTTCTTTTTGAAAGAAGTATAATTACGAAGTAACTTTTTTATCTGTAACTGAATAAAGTTTATCCACGTTCAATCATTTTTAGAGAAATTCACATCAGATTTCCCTTGTAATCATTTCTTGTCATGTCAGCTATCACCATTTCTCACGTCATAAAAGTGCTAAAAAATAAAAATTCTTCTAATAGTTTAATCTAATGACATTATCATAATCCTCATTTTCAATTTTTGTTTCTAGGGTGTCACCTCGCGATTACATGAAAGATCATATACAATATGTCACAAACAGGAGTGGAGCCAAGAATATTGTTCGGTGCGGACAAAATTTTGAGTTTTTAGTCATGAATTTACTGATGATAAAAATATAAAAGGTAAACAAGAAAAAAAAAAACATGCGCACGGACGAATCCACAGATAGCAAAGGTGGAAAATTGGCCAGTGTATCGACCAGTCTCATCCAAATGCCCAATGTTAATGTGTAGAGATGAATTATCTTTGGACGTGATTAGTCTTTTTGTGGCAGAATTAAAAAAAAAAATCCCATAATATCAATTATCAAACATCATGCAACTCACACAGTTCACTTTTATAATATAATACAGCAAGAAAGGCATAAAAGACCTAATAATAGCATCAGCAGAATAGATACAGACCACTTTCTGGGAATGTAGTGATCCATATTTTGTCTCTCATTGTTCTTCTCTGCATTTTTGGCAAATTTCTCAACTCCAAACGAAGGTCAAGCACTCGTATCCAAAAAACTCAATTAACTGACAAGTCTAACGTTTGAGTCAAAGATTATTAATTATTTGCAGCACATATGGGGCACAAAATATTGATGACAGCCCTTTCAATTTGCTTCAGTTCTTAAAGAATGTGATAAAGGTGGAAAATGATGATTTAAATGGACTGAAGTAGACGTGTCAAAGTGGGTTGGACGGTCCAAATTTGAGGCAGTCTAGTCCAAAATAGAGTTGCATTGGGCACAATGTCGATGTATATTTACTTCAAGTAATAAAAAAAGTGTGAACTAGGAGAAAAGTCAACGAAAAAATAGGTGACTACTATCGACCGCGCACGAAATT